GTCTGTGGGTTGTTTTTGTGGGTAAACAACCAGTTGAGACAATCAATTGACAGAAGTCATCATTTAAGTTTTATTTTGAAGTCAGTTGCGATTCATTTCTCTTTCGCAGTGGCTGATAATTGTTCCTCGGTCAGTTTTCCGGCCTCCGTCGTGCCGTGGAGCTCCATGCTGAACAGTAAAACATCACTCAGGTGGTCTTCACACGTTACGGTTCTGAGCTGAAGCTGCTTCAGTCAGATCAGCTTCTCAAGATGCTGATAACAGGCAGTAACAAGTCGATCTGCTGCAGCGATCAGGATCTGATTGGAATCTGTGAGCTGCTCTTGATTTATACTGCTGCAGGTGAACGTGCTGCTCAGAGGCTTTTCTGTTTACTGGGCTCCAGTTAGGACACGACTCCGGGAATGTTCAGGGTGTGCTTCAGGAGAATTCAGCCATTTCTACCTCTCTTCCTCCAGTGACCCCACATTGAACCACCCCAGGAGGAGACACTCGTCTGGAAACATCTCCACCACCCTGGAGATGCTGCCGGGGCTGGAGGGCTTCCACCTGGACACCTACGGCCGGGTAAACACCTGCACAGCCACACTGAAACCCGCTCACGGCCTGATTAGTGCCGCCGTCATCACGTCTGATAAATTCCTCTCCTCAGTCGGTGTCCTACGCCCAGTTCCTGTATCCCACCAACGCCCTGGTGAGGCAGAAGCCGTCGTCCACCAGCGACCTGACGCTGCAGATCCCGGTGTCCAGGAGCGCTCACAGCATGACGGGCAGGAACTTCCCCCCCAGCCGCCTCAACAGCACCGTGGGGCTGGACCTGGGTAATAAATATGTCGACACAAACACACACAGGTTGTAGCTCGGCGTCTATAAAAACGTATAAGCAGATTTATGTTGATTCAGTTTCTTGCCGGCTCATTAAAGCCTTTTATCGAGCAAGGAACCGTATATGGTAACTTCCTTTATAAATGGCTTCATCCGGCCAATCAGAAAAGGTCAGGATAAGTGACAACACAGTCGCTATGGCCTCTGACCAATCAGGAGTGAGCCAGAGTGTCATGAGTTCATAAATCTGACCGGTGATTTGGAACTACAGTCGTCCTCAGATGTATTCATATCCTCCCATTAAAGAAGGAAAAGCAGCTGAAATATCTTAAAGTTGACAAAAGTCTGAGCCAATCACTGCCATCAGGTGTTTCCTGTAACTCTCAGTCAGACTTCTCACCTGTTGACAGGTGTTCTGGTCCACTGCTCATCAGCAAAGGCCTCTCATTTAACAGTTTTGTTTGTTTTTTTAAATTATTCTTTTCAACCACAGTTCAAAAGCAATGTCTTATTTCACCAAATTATAATTTAGCAAATTTTTATTTATTGTTACTTTTTTCAGTTTCTAGTTATTTGAGTGACTTTTGTGGATTTTGTCTTTCTTTAATGGAAGGGGATGAATACATCTGAGGACGACTGCAAATGTTCCTTCATCTTTATATGTGTATTTTTTTACAATCATTTTTCAGCATATTATTCTTTTTTTACCCTCGGTGGGCGAGGACTCATATATGGTAGCTGCTTTGATTTTGATTTGCAGCCTACATCTGATTTTTTCAAAGTCAAAAAACTTAAAAATGTCCTCTTATATCCACCAATAACACTCCAGGGTTGAAATTGTAAATTTCCAAGTATATGTTTGACAAGTCAGTAGTTCTGCGGTGCCTCCAGTCGGTTTCTGTTGGTGGAACCTCGTAGTAAAGCTCCAGTAGAACCCTGTCTAAATGTAGAGTTAGAAAACCTGTGTTCTCTACATGAGGTCAGTATCGTCGACCAGCTGTAGTACCTGGTTGTTCCACCAGGTGGAGCCTCTCCCTGTTTAATCCTGTAGAGACCAGAGGAGGCGTCACTCAGACTACAGTTGGCAGCAGAGAGCATTGTGGGAGTTTAGCAGCAGCGGGACCATGACAGAGACTCTGAGGAGGTTCAGGACCTCCAACCAGAGTTAATATGTTCAAGACAAGCGTGGATTGACTCGGACGGCATTTCTGTGTCTCGTGTGTCCGTCGACTAAAACACCAACATCAGCGCAGGACGATACATTTTTTGTTACCAAATAATAATCGGGTTTTGTCATCAGAAGCTAATGTGAAAGTAAAAGAGAAGTCCATCCCGTTTTGGTTTTGGTTTTTCATTAAGGTTTACTGGGAAAACTGTAAGCCTGCATCGGGACATCTGGTGATGTCAGAACGCTGATCTGGTTCCTTGAATTTTGAGGTCGGAGAAGAGATTAATCCAGGAAGCGAAGGACAGATTGGCGGGACGGTGACTGCGGGGAGACAAAGGAATTAAAACACAGAGGAAGAGAAAGCAAACACAGGAAGGAGATGAAGCGAGGCAGAGTTGTCGCAGCTGTTGCATCCTCTTTTCAAACACATGCACGTCTGCACGTTCGCCCGGTGCGCTGCGTCCTTCGTCTGTAAACACCCGCAGCGTCGGAGCTTCGTATCGGCCTCCGACTCTAATCCAGGACGTTTCATTAACTCAACACAGCTGTGTGTGTTACTGACATCAGGTTTGTGTTTTCAGTCGTCTTGTGACTCTGAAAGCTGCGATGATTGCTCGTCATATGCGAAATAAGTCATAGGAAGTGTCATTTGTGTTTAATATGAGGATCATTCCACCTCAAAGCACTCATTTTTAAAACACCTCCACGATAATCTGTAGATCTACATTTAAAGAGCCGCAACTTTATAAATAACGTAGCTAGAGGCCTGATATTTTGCAGACTTGTTGGTCGTCAGTGGTGCCACTTTTTTCTTGTAGACCAAGAAAGTGTCACAAAGGACAAACCGACTACACCATGAGGGAGGCTCTGGAAGGTGAAGAGCTTGGTTTAAAGCTCCATGACGAAGGAAATTACTCAGGCTCTGCTAAACAGGGTCGAAAATTCCTGTGCGAATGTTGGTTTGTTTAGCAAACAGACTGAGGCGATGTCATTTATTGTTAACATGGAAAAACAGCTAATCACCAGAAAAGGAGAATTGGGTTGGTGGGTACTTGGGATGGAAGCACGGAAAGGATGCCACGAAAAAAAAACATCTGGAGAACAAACATCAAGCGAGATATCTTCATGGCAACAGTAGAATCAGTTCTAATGTCAGGATGCAAAACGTGGACGCTTACAGACGAACAAAGAGCTTTATGGAGGATTTCCTACAGCTTCAACAAAGGTTGGTGAGAGGCGTCTAAAGCTGGCTGCTCACCTTGTGGGACATCAGGATGAGGAGGCCTCCAAGCTGGTGTCATGGGAGCCTACTGGTGGTAAAAGATCAAGTCATTAATGACAGACTGCACTCTCTGGGGAGGGATTGTCCAGCCTGTGTTACGATCCAGCCTCTAGGGTCAGCTGGATGGAACAAAAAACCAGATGGAAGTGGTTCAGGCAAAGCAATTTATTGCTGAGTAGCTTAAATGAACATAACAGAGCGGTGACAATACAAAAGAACAGGGTGGATGTTGCTACAAATCAAAGAACCAAACATAACCAAACGAAGGCTCGCAGAGTAGCAAAGCTAGCAAACTAAACTAAACTCCTTAGCCAACCTTAAACCTAATAGCAACATCCACACATAGCAACAGAAACTAAAACAAACTAGTGCCTCAAAACACAGACCATGAAAACACAAGTCACGAGTAACTTCTTCACAAAGTTGGGTAGCTGCTGACGGGAGTCATCGTCTCCGCTAAGACTCTCTCAGAGCTCCTACATCGAGTTAGCAGCGGCCAGCAGAAGCTACATCACAACAAACACAGAGCGAGAGGTACCAGGACTGTTCACAGTATATCCCAGACAGCCCTGACTGAGAGGCTGCTGGTTGCTTTTGTAGCCAGGTGTGGTATTTGCTGGAGTGGTGGTCCAATCAGGTGTGACTGGAGGCGGGAAGAACAAGGCTGAGAGTAGGTCTGGAGGATGTCTGGCAGGTGTGGTTGTGGAGTCTTCAGCTGGACCTTCACAGGCCATCTTCCCACACAACAATCACAAGTCCACCACATATGACGGCACAAACACCACGGGCCGTAACACTTCTGCTTCAACAGCGTCTGATTTGTGTTGAACGCACCATAAACTACGATAAAACCAACAACGGACTTCCAGTTTTGTTTGTGTTGTGCACATTTGTGAGAATGAAAACTGTCTTCCTGCCAGTAGTTTCTCACTTTCCTGCTCATTGACACGTGGTGGCAGCAAACAACAAAGGCAACGAAGGAAGACACATAGCAAACATGTAAACACATAAAGGAAGACGTTCGTTTGGCGTCTTTGTGAGGCTTCAAGGAAACACAGAAAGCTGTTCGGTGATGTTTGTTTACAAGAAAACTCCACAAGACGAACAGCTTAATGGACACAAGCAGTATGAAAGCAGGACATGAATGAATTATTACCAGTGGAGCCACGTTTTCACTTGTTTCTGCTCAACTGTTCAACTCTGAGGCAAGGCAAGGCTGTGATGTCGCTAAAACAAGACAGCTTAAAGGGCTCTGCGTAAAAATCGTCTCGTTCTGCTCTAAAGGAAAAGCAAACAAGAGCAGTTCTGGTCCAGATGAATCACTCATGTAGCTGCACATGAACCAGAAGTTTGCACATATTTATGTTTCCACCTCTTCTCAGTTCTACTTTATGAGGAAACCAGCCTTGTTTCTGAGCTAACTCTCGTCTAATTCCAGTAAATGTGTTGTCGTCCAGGTCTGGACGATGTGACCGACTACGACCCCAACATCCTCAGTGACCCCCAGTGGCCTTGTGGGAAACACAAACGAGTGCTGATCTTCGCCTCCTACATGGTAAGAAAACACCGACGAACATCTCCTCAGAGCTCCATCCGAATCTCTCTTTGCGTTCAGTTGCTTCGATGCACCTTCAGGTCTGAACGTAGCGCCGTCGCCTGATGCTGGAGATCTTTGTCAGAAACTGTTTTGTCTCAGCGGTGTGTTTTCTTGTTTTTCTATAAACGTTCACACTGTCTGTGGCTGTATCTGAAGTCCATCACTACACAGTGTAAAAAACTGAAGATCGGTGGCATTTACACAGATTTCTGGCGCTAATTTATATTATTAGGATGCATTTTTTTATCGTTAAGACATATTGTAGTTGAATTTATTCGCTCAATGCTATTCCAGGTGTTAGCGATACTGGGACAAAGGTGTCTCTCATGCTAGAAATATGTTATTATTTACACTTTTATTATGTTTCCGTACTTGTCTCCTGTCTGCTCGGTGCGAATTTTGAATTTTTTCTGAATTTTTGTCCTGTGATTGTCGGTCCCAGCTGATGGCTTCACAGCTGCAACAAGAAGTGCAGAATTTTTAGTTTTTTACAGATTTTTGTTAAAGTGAACTGTTTATTTTTACTGAGGCGTGTAGCATGAGGAGAATTTCAGTTTCTAAACTTAGTTTGGTGACGTTTTCCAACACAAGGGCTCGAAAATCAGATTTTTTTTTCACTTTTCTCTGATAAATGGTTTTGTTTGGCGTTACTTTTGAAATATAACGCGCCTTTCAAACCCGCTGATGAGTTTTTAACGTCGTGATCAGACGTCACAGCGTCTCTGGTGATTTGTGGTTCTGTGTCTCTGTTGCGGTTTCAGTTCGTTTTAATTAAAGCACTCTTCTGAAGCTTCCTCCTAATTACACCGTCGGCCTGAAAATCACAGCTGCACTCGCGTCGGTTTGATTAAACGACGGCAGAGTTTCATAGGAGACGAGCGTAAAGCAGCAAACAGAGGAGGACGGCTGCAGGATTACGGAGCCGTGAGCCCTCTGACATCGACGTAATGATCCTATAGGAGGCGGCTTAGTTTCATCCCTCCGCTCCGAGGATTTAGCCTCGATAGAGACGCTGATGGAGCGTTCGGGTCGCTGCTCTGTGGCTGATCTGACTGTTGTCATCACACAGTGTGACTTCACAGCTCACCTGAACCACGACACCTTCAGTCCAGGACCAGTCTGGATCAACGTGTGAAGAAACCAGCAGCCACGACGCATTTCACTGATTTATTAGTCTTCTGAGAACTCGTTTATTTCTCTAATTATTCACTTGTTTTATTTTAGCAGAGCCTAAAAAGTAGAAAGCAAGAAGATGTAAGTTCGATATACGACTGAAATTATTAAAATAAGATGAGATGAAGTGAGATTGGAATCAGGATAAGAAGTAATGTCACACATGATGATGAAAACATGAGTGAGTTTGTGTTTTTTAGGATCGTAGCTTCAGATGCGGTTTGTTCATCTTCTTAAACCCGGATCATTAAACCACCTCAGAGACGAAATGAATGGACGGGTCGGTTTCAGGTCCGGGCGGCGATAACAGAGCGGCAGACGTTCACGCCGTCACTGTTTACGTCCTCAGCGGATCATTTACATTCTCCGGCCGCTGTTTGACTTTTCTGCTTCCACTTTAACTTCCACGTTTCCTCTGTTTACGAATTCCTCTGCTCTGTTCTCCACGTCTTGTTTCTGCTCTCAGACGACGGTCATAGAGTACGTCAAGCCGTCCGACCTGAAGAAAGACATGAACGAGACTTTTAAGGAGAAGTTTCCTCACATCAAGCTGACCCTCAGCAAGATCCGCAGGTAAAGCCTTCGGGTTTCATCGACTGAACACGTCTCTGGGTGTGTTTTATGTGCTCCTGTCTCGTTTTTCTCTGCAACAGAAAGTCCTGCAGCTCTATAGAAACTGGTTTTTGTCCCATTTTTGCAAAAATAAATGATCAGAAAAGTCTTTTTATTTTCTAAAGAACTGAAACAACCTGGACTCAACACGTAAAACATCTTTCCTGTAGGTGTTACCAACACTAGGAAACTAGAAAAACTGGCTCTACATATTACAAATATTCTCCTAATTGCATTTATTTTCTCTAAATGCTCGTTTCCTCTCTGCACGGTGTTCTTAGCTGCGTCACTCGTGGTTTCTGTTGTTTTATTTCTCCGAGCAGCTTTTTACAGACGAACAAAAATGTTAAACGAGTCAGATTTAAGTGATTTTTGATGATTTTGTTTTCAGATTTTCTGACAGAAAACGAGAACCGTCGCAAAGTTTTAAAAAGGCTCGTCATCAGTGCAGAGAAGCGCAGAACTTTTTTCTTTTACACAATCTAGTGACTGAAAACAATTTATTTTAACCACGTTTTTAAATAAGACGTGTAGAATAAACAGATTGAATCGTCTTCTCTCTGCTCTGTTCACACACTGCCTGCAGTTCAGCTGAACATTATTTCTTATATGATTCTTGTTCTCATCTGAGTCACTCATAGTTTCTCTGTTGTGAGAGTTTTTTCTTAGTATTTTTTAACAGACTTTCCTACAAAATTTTTGATGAAATGTCAGAATTTTCCGCTCATGTTTGCTTCAGTTTTCTGGCGACGACTGTTGCAAAGTTGAAAGTTCTGGTTTTTGAGAGTCTCACAGTGAGAACTGGTTATTTTAATAAGATAGCACGTCTTTGTTGATCCAGAGAGTTAAAGTTTTTACCCACAGTCACTCAGACATGAGCCTCTCTGGCCTCGTCTACAGATCCTACCTGTTGTAAAGGATTACATGACGCCAGAACTAACGTCTTCTCTGTGCCTTCCTCAGCCTGAAGAGGGAGATGAGGGTCGTCGGCGAGGACTGCGGCCTGCAGCCCGTCACCATCGCCATGTCCTTCGTCTACTTTGAGAAGCTGGTTCTGCAGGGTCGGCTCAACAAACAGAACCGGTACGTTCAGGCCCGGAGCTCAGAACTCAGTGGATCGTCTGCTTTGGTCTTCGGCTCCTCTCTGCGATTTGAAAGCTCGTCGAACGTCAACAGGGATTGACATTTACAAAAAAAACATATATATATATATATAATTAGATCTGGGATTAAAGAAACAAATTTGCAGGAACAAAAATATATTTTATCTTTAACTAAAATGTAAACAAAAGTACAAAATATGACCTAAAATATCAACAAAAGTACAAAATATGAACAAAAATATCAATAAAAGTACAAAATATAAACTAAAATATAAACAAAAGTACAAAATATGACATAAAACATCAACAAAAGTACAAAATATGAACTAAAATATCAACAAAAGTATAAAATCTGAACAGAATTATAAACATAAGTACAGTTTAAATGACGATGGAGAACCACAGTTAGTCTGAAATCCGATTGGTTCGATGAATAACGAGCTGCTCGTTTATCTGCAGCACAGGTTCTAATTATTTTCTGTTAGAAATCAACTCATAAACAATTTAATGTACATTTAATATCTCCAAAGTGTCCCAGAAAACAACAAAACAATCACAATCCAGCACTTTCTCCTCTTTCTCTGGTAGATTTGTGAATTTTTGACACAACATCTGGCTGAATATTTAAACGTGTTTCCCTGCATGTCCACGTGTTTATCAGTGCGTCGGTGGCGCCCCCTTGTGTTTACTTCTAGCTAAACATCACGTCATCTCATTATTGATCGTCTCTGTTTGTGTCGCACTGAATTCCAGCGTTTGTTGTCCCGTTGGCATGTTGGGCATAAAAATGAAGCGTTCCAGCTGTAGTTCCTGCAGAACGGGGATTAATTTTACAGTTTTATGGTAGAAACGTGTGATTAGATCAGAAAAGATCAAAGTTTATTGATCTTGAAGGACGTTTTTGTGCCAGATGACACAATATAGGAAATGTAATAACACATGTGATGATGGAAACATTTAAGTAAATATTAAATCCAGATTAGACATTGCTCCTATTGACGACGCCGTACATGAACCATAATGTTCTAAACGCTCAGAGCTAAATGTAAAGTCATCGTTATAGCCCGCCAGCAGACTGTTGGTTCTGTTCTGTTCTGTGGTTCTGTTCAGACCAACGTGACTCTGCAACATTCGCTCTGTTCTTATTTCTACATGTGCTGAACAGGAAGTTGGTGTCGGCCGCCTGCATCCTGTTGGCCGCCAAGATCAGCAGCGACCTGAAGAAGCAGGAAGTCAAACACCTCATCGATGTGAGTCTCAGCGCAGGCACATGCTGTCTGGACAGATTCTGGTTCTGGGTCTGGTTCTGAGTCTGGTCTGGTTCTGGGTCTGGTCTGGTTCTGGGTCTGGTCTGGCAGGTCGGGTCGGGAGGGAGGGAGGAAGAAAGATGTGAAGATCCACCTGAGCAGGGTTGTTGGTAGAACCTTGTAGGAAGCAATGGAGGGAGGGATGAAAAAAGGAAGGAATAGAGAAAGGGAGGGAGGAAAGAAGGAAGGGAAGAAGGTAGGAAGGGATAAAGGATGGAAAGAATGAAGTAAGGAAGAAAGGGTGGAAGGAAGGAAAGGAGGACAGTAGGAGGGAAAGGAGGAAGGAGGAAAGGAAGAAAGAAACTTACTTTGTTACTTCCT